TATGCTAAGTGTAAAACTTTCCATTTAGGATTCAGAAGCTTTTATTGCCAAGCCAGTTCAGAAAAGCTGGCCCTTCAGCCTGACTTCTCAGGCTAGTTTAGCCACTCCTGAGGTGCTGCTCCCTTCCGTGGTTGATGTGATGCTGCCACCTGGTGATTATTCAGACAAAGTGCTTGAGGCATCGGCCTCCTCCTAGGCAGAAAGTAGGTGGTAGAGTAGGTCCCCCCTGGCTCCCATCCACCTAATTGGGAAAGTAAAATATAACTTTATGATGATAATTGTAAGCTGAGAAGGGTAATGTCTTATAAATTTAAATATTAATAATGACCTTCATTAAGGATATTTAATATTGATGTTAATTGTAATTGTGTTCTAATCATAATATCAAGATGTTCAGCACAAATGTATGCATATAATCATATCATGTTTTACATGTACATACATTCTTCATGTATGCATTATTGGATATTATCCTCATCACAATCCCTAAGTAATCTTATGCTATTTCTTCTTTTCCCCACGAGGAAAGAAGATTCAGCAAGAGTCTGTGTCTAAGAGCACACAGTAGGAGAGTAGGAAAGTCAGAATCTGAATCCAATCTAGTTGATTGGGCTGTGGAACGTTACTGGATGTCAACAGTCATGCTTTCAGTAGAGTGAGGGAACAAGCAGCGTAAGACAAAACAAATCAATACAGGGGTTGGTGGTGGTTTGGAAGGAGACCCAGCCAGTAGTGGGGAGTTTGTGTGATAAGAGCTAGCTAGAGGGAAAAGACTAGTGAGGGTAAAAGGCAAAGTTAAGACCCCCATTTAGTGGGCCCCAGTCTAGAAGAGCTGTGGCTCTTTGGGCATATTACATGCCTAGGAAAAATACTAGAGCTGACCAAGCTTCTACAGATCCCTCAGTCTTGACTTAGACACTCTCAAGACTGGATTGTGTCATCCTAGGAGGTGCTCTCACTGCCTCCCTTGTATTACATGTTCGGTGTGAAGGTGGGGGAGTGATAGATGATGCACATTTGTATTTGTCTATTTGTTTAATCATCTATTATAGCCATTTGGTCTAGGCGATTTCTCATGTCTTGTCTCGTTTAATTCCATCAACCCTAAAAATATATTTAGAATTTACAAACCCAATTCTGAGATGTTTCTTGTCTAGTTGCTGAAAAGGTGCTTTATAGGAAAGATTTTTAGCCTCCTGAAGAAACGAAACCACCTGTCAATTGGCCAACATTTTGTTTGTTAGTCTCTCACATTCAGACACATGTATCTGACTTCCAACACAAGCAAAATCAGCCTCTACCCCTGAGAGAGCTATGCCCAGTTCACTATTTGATTTCACCATCAAAGAGAAGTTCTCGAAATTCAGTTGTTTGACAAATTTACTTAAATCTGTTTCAGATGTTTTTGTTTGTTTTTGTATTTGTGCAGTTAACTAACTGTAACAGTTACAATACAGGGCCTCCCCGGTGGCGCAGGCAGTTGAGCTCCCGCACTGTGAAGCTGTCCTCAGCCTCTGCAGTGCAGGTTCGATCCAGTCCGGCCAGCGAGAATCCCACATGGCGCGGCAGACCTCTCCTGTCTCGCCTGCTGCTCCCCTCAGCAGTGTATTTCATCAGTCTGCCTGTTCTGTTCCCCACTCTGTCTCTGGTGAATCCTCTCATCCTCCTGCGCATCTGACCGGTACCCAGATTCTTGTATAAATAAAAATAAATCTTTAAAAACAAAACAGTTACAATACAAATATTTCCCATTAAAATGAAATTACCTACAAACCTTTATATTCATGGTGGTTTACTTTCACTTGGACCAGAATAGCAGAGGATCCATCAATAATCACCATTAATTTTGTACCCATCGTTGATATAAAGTAGAAAATGGGTGGTTTGTTTTCTAATTCTAAAGATTTTTAGTGTTGGTCAAGTTAATTGTAACAAGATTAGTGAAGTCTTAAATAGTACACAATGTTATGTAAATAGTACACAAGTTAAATATTCTATAAGTAAATCTATAAATATACAATGAGTGAACAGTCAGCAAAGAATAATTCTATGACCCAAGTTAAGGGCTGTAAAAATTGCACACCAGTCAAAAGAAAATCTCATAGGAAGTTCCTTCCATACAAATTGCTCCATTTTGTAACAATAGGTGCTTATTTTTGTAGACTTGTACAGCTCTTTGCTATAAATAGTGCATTGTAATTATTTTTGCTTAAATAGTTCATTAGCTTTTGAAAAGATTTAAGTACTAAAGAAAGCATTAAGAATTATCCACAGGGTTTGTTTCTTTTAGGATTTTAAAGATGTTACTCAACTATCTTCTTTTTTGGATTATTTCTGAAAAGAAATCTGCAATCAGCCTTATTTTCTGATTCATCTGTATGTAATATATCTTTTCCTCTGGTTTGTTTTAGGAATTTTCTCTCATCATTGGTGCTGGATGATTTCATTTCTATGTGCCTTAGTTTAGTTTTTCTTCATATTCTTATGTTTGAGGTTTATAGAGCTTTCTGAAATAAAGTTTTATTTGAGTATTTCTTCAAATGTTTCTACTCCTCTTTAGGATTTTTAAATTCCCTATGCTGTGACTACTTGGAATTGTCCCAAAGGTCACTGATACTCTTAATTTTTTAAATTTTTTTTTAATGTGTGTTTTATTTGGGATAACTTATAATGCTATGTCTTCCATTTCACTAATCTTTTCTTCTGCAATAACTAAAATGCTGTTAATTTCATGCAGTATAAATTTTACCCAAGATAATTATAGTTTTTACCTTGAGAAGTTCAACTTGGGTATTTTCCAATATCTTACCATATTAAATCTTCCGTAATTCTTGTGAACATATGGACAATAAGCATAACAAGTGTTTTAATGGCCTTGTCTACTTATTCTAACATCTGTATCAGTTCTAGGTTGGTTTCACTTGATTGACTGTTCTCTGTGCTGTGGGTCATATTTTCCTGCTTCTTTGCAGGCCTGATATTTGTTAATACGTACCAGATATTGTGAAGTTTACCTCGTGGGTACTAAATATTCCTATAAATATTCTTAAGCTTAGGTCTGGGACATGGTTGTGTAACTTAGCAACAGTTTAATCCTTTCAGATCTTGCTTCCAAGCATTCACTGTTTCAGATCTGGGTGAATATTGGGTATTTTACACTGAAAGTGAAGTATGCAATACTTTCAGATGATTCTTTCTCCAATATTTGGTGTTTTCTTACATGTATGAGCTGATCAATAGTCAACTGAATTCTCACCAAGGACCCTCGAGTTCACTGTCCATGCATCTCTCTCCTTTGTCTTTGTCTGCTCTTTGAACTCTAGCTGGCTCAATCTTTGTGGACCTTAGCTCTATCTCTTCAATTTAGGGAGCCTGTCAAGTTCTGCTTGGGTTCCCTCTCCCTACACCTTAGCCTGCAAACTCTCTAAAGACATAAACTGGGTAATTAAAGGATTCAGATTATTTGCTCTTGCCTCTTAAGGATTGCTATCTTTAATTACCTGATGCCCATTGTCTTGCAAACTATTTTTTCCCACATGCTTTGTCCAATTTTTCAGCTGTTTCAGGTGGAAGGAAAATAAGCCTATTATTCCAGATTGCAAACACTAGGTAAAAGACATTGTTTTACCAAATCTTTGCTCAATTTCTTTCCATCTTTCTAGGATTCAATATTGAAAACTATATCCTCAGATTTTTAGCCTTTCATTTTACTTGAGACTAATTAATGAGTACAGATTTAGGACTTTATTTATTTTTTTTTTATAGAGGCATGTTTTTATTTATTTATTTGTTTGTTTGTTTGTTTGTTTTGTTTATACATGCACTGGGTACAGTCAGAGGCGCGGGAGGGTGAGAGAATTCACCAGAGCCAGAGCGGGGAGCAGAGCAGGCAGAAGGACCGACGTACACTGCTGAGGGGAGCAGCGGGCGGCAGGAGAGGTCTGCGCGCCATGTGGGACCCTCAGGTGGCCGGGGAGCAGCCGGGGATCGAACCGGCGCCACAGATGCCGCGGGCAGCTTCGCAACCCAGCGCTCAACCGCTGCGCCACCGGGGAGGCCCCAGATTTAGGACTTTAAACTCTGCAAAACTAAGCTTCTTTATCTTTACTTCGATCTCAGGGTAATGTAGTGGGAATTCTAGCTGGGTAGCCCAACTCCAAGACCATGTCTCTACTAGCTGTCTTTGCTTGGACACATGGATAGGTAAGGCTGGTGGAGGACAGTCCTACAGGGACACGAGATGCTGCTGACCTTGTTAGCGGATCTGTCTTTGAAGGCTAGATAGTGACTGCCTAAGCAGAGGCTAGTGGGTTGGTTGCTTGTCTTTGAGCACTTCTGCAGCAGCTAGTTCTTTAAACACAGGAAAATTCTCTGTAGGTCCCAGATATCCAATTACTGTATCTACCAACAATCGGCTTTTTCCTTTCAAGTCTCTCCCCAGATCCACACTCAGTCTTTTCTCCCAAGATAAATAACATTTCTCTCTCTGCTCCTTCTATTATAAGGACACCATTCTCTTTTTTTTTTTTTTTTAAGATTTATTTATTTATGCATACAAGAGCTGGGATACAGGCCAGAGGTGCAGGAGGTGAGAGGATTCACCAGAGACAGAATGGGGAGCAGAACAGGCAGGTCTACTGAAATACACTGCTGAGGGGAGCAGCAGGTAAGACAGGAGAGGTCTGCTGTGCCATGTGGGTAGCTCCCTCGACAGGGATTGAACTCATGCTGCATAGACTACGAATAGCTTCATAGTGCTGAGACTTAACTCTTTGTGCCACCAGGGAGGCCCTTAAGGAGACCATTCTTTATCCCTCCTCCACAAAAGTTTTTTATTCTACAGTGGTATAGGTGGTGACTTTCCACGTAATTTTATAGCTCCATGCAGTGGGCCTTTACTGAGCATCTTTGGCATGTCACACATGTAGTGGGTTTGATCCCAGGCCCACTGGCAGCTAAAACAGCTCACTGACCACAGTCCTCTTTATTTCTTTCCACAGGTGCCGTGGTGAACAGAGCAAACAGCTGCCAGTCTGACAGCAGCGGGTTCCTGGAGGAACTGCCGGAACCACTACCTCTGCAGGTAGAGGGCCACCTGAGTGTTGAAATAGGAATCAAAGGAAAGATAAGTTGAAAGCAAACCACTGCAACCAACCAAAGCTAAAACAGACATAGGCCACGGGCATCCAAAGGGCCAGGGATGAGGGTGTCATCCTGCACAACGTGCCAAAAAGTTCTGCATTCCTTCCTTTATTTTATTTTGATTTTTCTAAACAAGGAAGCAGAGCATCATAGAAGGAAGGTCCCAGAAAAAGTCATGACTGATGTAAACCTGAGTATTTGTGTCTCCTAAATCAATGGAAATGATAAGAAAAAAATTTTAAAGCACTTCTTAAACGGAGTGCCTCCCCACTTCCTGACCATATGCCTTACGCCCGGTTTCTCCCATAGATGCCTTCCTGGCCAAGCAGCCAGGGTCTTGCTGAGGATGGATGCCCAACACGAGGGCATCAGAGCCCCAGCTTAAGGTCCTCCCAGGACTGCCAGCAAGAGTCAGACGAGTCTGATTCCAAGAGCACATCTTTTTCAAGCCAAGACTGGAGTGCCTTGGAAGAAAAGGTCTCAACATCTGCGGTGGAGAAAGGGTCTCAGTTTGAGGCCATGGAGGGCTCAGTAGAACTGTTGACCCCTAATAAGGTTGGGTCCAAGCCTACCATGGCGGGAGAATGTCCAAGGACAGGCAACCGTCTGCCGCAGAACCAACCAAGATCCTGGAATGAAAATGAAGTCATTGCAGGCACAGTTACTGCCAAGTGTGCTTGCCCTCTGGAGTTTATGGCGGGCCACATTGCAGAAGCGAAGGAAGGATTTGTGAGGCCTGCAGGCGCTGGGAACGTGCATGAAGTACATGAAAAACACCACCACTGTGGATCTCCACAGTCATCTAGAATTGATCACACACAGAACAAGTGTCCTCATGCTGACGCTGAGGTGCCAAGAGGAGTGGCAAGCGGTCAACTCTGTCCTGATGTGGACAACACTTTAATCACCTTAGAAAGGCCACCACAGCCAGTCCCCAAGCCCAGTGAAGTCACGCCCTATACAGCTGACCTTATTCAAACATCTGAAAAGTCCATCCCCTGCTTAGATAAGCTGCATGAAGTTATTTCTCCAGAGGAACCAAGGGGTAGTGCTCTGGCTCCAGGACCACCAAGGTCAGAATCTGGGACAGGAAACCTTCCTCCAAGTGCTGACGCAAGTACTGGCAGCTCCAAATCTGTGACAATCCAGATGTCCTGCAAGCTGGCCTCAGCTGCTCAGAGTGCTGTGGCCTCGGGGACTGATTGGAGAGGAAGAACTTCAGAATGCACTAAGTGTGACCCTATCACCACCACAGGACCAGAACTCAGGAGAGAAGCAAAACAGTTCAATGATGCTTCTGTTCAGACTCATCATTGTGAGCCCAGGCCCTGGCATTGCTGTTTGGATCCAAGTAACAAGGCCTCGGCACACACAGCCCAGCCCCTCACCAAATCTGTCTCACTAGACACAGGTTTCCAGGGGGGAATTTGCCACACCATCCCTGCTCACTGCTGCAGCTGCTGTCATCACCGTCCCCACTGCCACTCAGAGAGGCAAAACCCCAGCCCCGTGCCCTCAGCCTGCAAGCATTGCCTCTGCTCACATCATCATCACTCAGAAGCCCATTTCATGAAGATGTTGGAAATCCTTCAGGAAACCATAGTGAGAGAGCTGTGCTCGGTGAGTATGTACTTCTACCTGGGTGGGAAGGCAGATGCATGAACAAACACCTCAGGCACAGGTCAGCCTTCCTTTCCCAATGAGAGCTCTTGGGGCATGTCTTTCCATTTCAAATCACGAATGATATTTATAGTGTTTTATTGTTTATAGTATATTCTCAAAAATGTTTTCTTAATTGATCACCTAGTGATCAAAGTTTTATTATAAATCCACATTTTCCAGAGAGATAGAAAATAACAAATCTGTATGAAAGGTGATAGATGTCAGTACATCTGCGCCTTATCTCCAGTTCAGTCTCCCTGACTGGTTCTGTCTTAGATTCACTCAGCTTCATCCGTTGATCTTATACAAGGCATGGAAACTTGTGTCTACTTCCTATTTTAAAAAAGAGGGACACTGTTCATGCCACTTAGGTTTGTCTTAGGATTAAATGAGAGAAAGCTTTAGAAAACTTAGCACCCTTAGGCGTTGAACATGGTGACTGGCACATAGAGCTATAGGCAAGGGTAACTGTGGTTTTTTTCTTTTTGCAAGTTTTGCTACCATTTTATTATTATTGAGGTCTTGAATCTAGAGTTTCTAAGGTCAAATAGAATAACTTTTGCTAAGCTTATTTAAAAGTGGACATTGAGGGCCTCCCCGGTGGCGCAGCGGTTGAGCGCTGGGTTGTGAAGCTGCCCGTGGCCTCTGCAGCGCCGGTTCGATCCCCGGCTGCTCCCCGGCCACTGGAGGAGGGTCCCACATGGCGCGCAGACCTCTCCTGCCGTCCGCTGCTCCCCTCAGCAGTGTACTTCGGTCCTTCTGCCTGTTCTGCTCCCCGCTCTGGCTCTGGTGAATTCTCTCACCCTCCCACGCTTCTGACTGTACCCAGTGCATGTATAAACAAAAAAACAAGCAAACAAACAAACAAATAAATAAATAAAACATGCCTCTATTAAAAATAAATAAATAAATAAATAAAAGTGGACATTGAACTTACAAAAACTGAATGGCCCACACATTTTCTCAAACCCTGATAAATCAACACATATGTAATGTGTTCTTCCAGTGCCCCTCTTTAGGGAGTCTCAAGTTGAGAAGACCTAGGCTAGCCACTGATTAAAAAATTAAGAGAATCACACATGAAACCACATAGAGAGATATAGTTTTTCATGTGCACCAAGTCCATCCAGGATGGGGTGCAGAAGGGAGTGACCTGCACGGAGGGCACAACTCTCCCCATTCTGCCTACCTGGTGTCAAGAGAAGGCCTTAGACCTGAGGAGCTCCAATTGCGTGGAAAGATCTGATTATTGAAAGTACATATTCTTCCTGATTTTCAGCTAGGCTATATCAGCACTTCTGCAGATAATACAGGGATTGGCTGAGGTGACTGTGATAAATCAATGCAGACGAAGAAGACACGGGGACCAAAGTGGCTGCATTATGCACAATGACTGCTTTCACCCTGTGTACTGGCTTGGGTCAGCAGAGCAGATTTGACACTGTATTAAGTGATAATGCAACCCTTATACTGGAAAAAAGTTCAAAGCATCCTTTGTGTGTGTGTATATATATATAATTTTATAATATAATGAAACTGCTCTAGAGCTGAAATGTATCTTTAGTGTTTCAAAATGACCAGGAGATGGCAGTGTTTCAGAATCTTCCATATCATACCCTCACAGAGCATGAACAAACCATCTGATTCCTAAATCCCAGTCCTTGTAACTTCCTATCACATGTTGCTCCAAAATAACTAAGTGAAGCATAAATTCCAATGTTTATAATGTCCAGCCTATTGGAGTACCACAGTTTCAGGATCCTGGCCTTACTCTCCCTACAACTTGGTGACCTCGTAGGACTCTACTTGGACAATTCCCAGTAAATAACACCTCTGTGTGCCCAGGCATGAGTCGTCCCTGCTATGAGCCAGTTAGAAAAAGAAAGAAATGATGAATTGGAAGAACAAAAATAAGCAGCAGGAGACTTGGGTTTGAAATATGACTGCCATTTCTTTGTCTAACAAGTTAGCCAACATTGTGTGTACAAACATTTCTTAATGAAAGAAGCCCCTCATGGTTACTGGTTTTAAGAGTCAAAATTGCAGCTTCCCTGGTGGCGCAGCGGGTTGAGCGCTGTGCTGCACTGTGCTGTGTCTGCAGCCTCAGCAGCACAGGTTCAATTCCTGGCCAGCCAAGGAGAAACCCACAAGGCGTGGCAGACCTCTCCTGCCTCGCCCACTGCTCCCCTCAGCAGTGCCTTCAGTCTGTCTGCCTGTTCTGCTCCCTGCTCTCTCTGGTGAATTCTCACCCTCCCATGCCTCTGACCTGTACCCCAGTTCTTGTATAAATAAATAAATCTTTAAAAAAAAGTTTTTTTAAAAAAAGTCTAAATTATAGTCATATTTTAAGTAGCTTTGCACACATCAATAATGCTTCAAATATTCCTCTTAACTGGTTCAAATGCACTCACACAGAAACAAAAGTAACTGGAAAGTTTTGCTCTACCAAATGTCTTATTTGATATAAAAATTACAGGATTAACTCAAAACCAAACCTTCAAGGAAAAATGGAGAGTTTTAATGCAAAGACATTACTCCTAGGAAAGTATTTCCATTATAGCAATTCCAGTAAAAATAACCATTAGGGTGCTGGAATCTTGGCCATTTGATTTTGAGGAGAAGTGTAAAATATCTGGGATTTTGTAGAAATAGGATAGGGAGAAATCAATATGGCTATAAGATTTGTTTCAATTAAAGAAGGAAGAAGAAAAAGTTCAAGGACCCATCTGCTTAATCAGTTTCCTTTAAAGGCCTTCCCAGAAGTCTCAATCTGTTCTCTTGGTTTCCATGGCATTGTCATCCTATCTTCAAAGGCTGCTGGGAAATGTAGTATTCCAGCTAGTCACACTGTTGCCCCAGAAATATTAGCATTCTGTTAAGGTGAATAAAAGGAAGAAAGCTAGTGAGTGGGTGGCTGGAAGATTATGCCACACTAGTCTGAGAGGGAGTCCCAGTGGTAGAGAGAACCAGGGGGCCTGGTAGAGAGAACATTAGGGTCCAACAAGCATTAATATCAATCTGTGTCAGATAGAGATGCTGGGGTTCTAGATGGTGTGTCTATTCATAGCATGAGCCAATCTTAGCTAGAAACAAAGGGGAAAGCTGCTAAGAACCCAGCAAATCCTCAGACTTCCCAACAAATGGACAGCATTTGATGGCTAACAGAAGATATTTATGTCAGGAAAACACAGCAAAAGCACAATCACAGAGATAGTAAGAGTTAGAGAATGATTCACGTCAGAAGAAATAGGGAGCAGGATTGGGAAGACAGTGCAATTCTAGACTCCAGTTGATGGGAAGGATGGGTGCCTACTGTATGCTTAGCTGGGTGGTGCTGGTCCTACCGCTTGCAACCACTGCGACTGTGATTATGCAGGGCTAAGACTAATAGAAAATATTCTAAGCAGACTTTCTCTAAACAAATACAAACCATCCAAATGGATGTGTTCTATGTTATTGAGATTCAAAGTGAGGCATTACTCCACACCAAAGTTAAACAAGATAAAACAAGATTCAACTTCTTAAAGCACAAGTCTTATATGCAGGCCCTTCCCCTCCTGGCTACATCCATGCCTCCATCACCTTGTCCTCCAGAGCGCCTTCCTGTCTCCAGGACGTGAGGCATGCAAGGGTCACTCCCCAACTGCTGCTCCCCTGTCCAGCCAAGTACTGCCTCTGGTGGCTTTTAGATGTCAAGGTCCAAGCGAATCCCTCTTCTCTTCCCCTCCTGAGCAGCAAGGCTGCGCTGCCAACAGGTGAGCCCAAGCTGAAGGCAGGCTCCAACACAAACAACTCTTGCAGAGAATCAAAAAGGACTTTCTTCTCAGCTCTTTCTAATTGTTCTCAGTGCACAGTCCATGAGATGGAAGCCATGAAGACCGTATGCCAGAGTTTCCGGGATCATTTAGAGGAAATTGAAGCACACCTTACAGGACAGCAGGCACTCTTTTCCAGGGACATGTTGGAGGAGGAAAGGTAATTATCTAGGGGAGCCATAAAAGTAAGTACCAGACATACACCTGCAGCAAGGAACAGTAATCAGGGCAGGACAGATGAGCGCCAAGGAGAAGGGCTAATGAGAGGTTGGCCAGCGTTTCTCCTGCTTTCATGCTCTTCCTCAGTGGGTGTCTGAGAGCCATTTAGTAGACAACAGCCTTCTGCTCTTTTAGACCAGGAAGATTTGAGGTCAGAAGGTGGGTTGCAGGGAGGGGCCAGCCAGCCAGGATATCTCCTATCTACTTGAATCCATTTCATGCAAATGCAAATGTTGGAGGTTGTTAGAGTTTTGAAAATCCGCATTATTTTCACAGAGGTTAAAAGTGTAGCTCCTTGAAAGTAGATTCCTTTCTGACTGAGGCCTGAGGGGTAAGGAATAGGGATTAACTGTAAAGAGACAGAAAAGTCCTTACTGGAGACAGGGAAAGCTCCCAAACTGGACGGTGGTTACACAACTTGGCAAATTTCTTAAAAATCATTGAGTTGAAAAAAAAAGATAATTGAGTTGAGCTCTTAAAATTGATGAAATTGATGCTGTGTAAATTATTCTGCAAGAGAGTTATTTTACAACTATGAACCAGAGACACACTATGGGGGGGGGGCAGGGAAAGGAGGGATTGGGGTCACAATAAGGAGGTTGCAATTGTATGGGGAATATAAAAATAAAATTTAAAAAAAAAAGAGAGTTGTTTTTAAAAAAGGTGGGGGGTGGGGGTGGGGAGAGCCCTGCTCTAGTAATATGCCAGTATGCCTGCAACAGACACTACTAAAGATGTTTTCTTTTAAGACATGTCAAAAGAGCAACCTACATTTTGAGAGGGACATTGGCAGATTGCACCAGCAAGTGATTGTAAAATTTGACTTTTCTATTATTTACCTGCAGGGAGGAGGCCCAGCAACTGCAAAGTCTACGTGAGGACGTGAGGCAGCAGGTGGAGGAGCTAGCCTTTCAACTAGGAGCCCGGGCTCAGCAAATCAGAGAATGCATTCTATTAGTTTGGGATGTGAGTGGCAGAATTTGATCCAATCCACCAAAAAATGGGTGCATTAAATGAGAAGCTTCACTGTGCAGTCATTTTAGATTCCCAGAGAATATGCCAACACCTTCATCTTAAGTAGAATGAAATTGAGGCCAGAAGCACTTTGCTTTGCTAAAGGTCACAGGCTAGTTGATGAAAATTCAGGATTAGAACTGGAGTCCCCTAACTCTTAATGCTAATCTCTCACTCAACCCTGTAAATAAGAGCTAAGTATTACTAGTTCATTTGCCAAATGAAAACAAGAAGCACCACTTTTGAGCTAATATGGGCTAAGTTACCAGTACAAGCTCACAGACCCCCTCCAGAGAAGTCATCACCCATAATGCCTTCCCCACAAGTCTGACTTAGCTGTTTGAAACAAATATGGTAAGTCACCCACTCTTGTTCTTGTTTCCCTTTTAGCAGTTTGAGTTTCTCACAGAGAAAACACCTGAACACTATCCAAATCCACATCAACTCAACTGGACTGGAGACAAGAATGGTCCGTCTGTGTTTCCTCCAGATGATGGCCAGCAGGCTCCCTGCTCGGATGTGACCCCTACAGCTAACTTTCCTCCCTCAGCCTTGGGGAGCAGCCCCAGGATGTCTCCTCCAGCTCAGGCTGAGTCAGATGAAACCCCTTTGTCAAACTGTGCTGTTGGAGGAAAGGGGATGAATGTCTTCCTCTAAATCAGAATGGATTGATGATCTTTCTGCAAAACGTAAGAACATGTTCTTGCCAGAGCAAGGAAATCTAAATTTTCCTCAATGAGTGTCTATCATCAGCTATTTTTAAAAATATCCTACTCTATGGCTAAAATCAGGAAGAACTGAGAATACTTTAATGTTCATTCACTATAGAAGAGGTAAGCACCTACTCTGTGCTGGCACAAGGAATATATGGTGGCCAACACAGCAGACAGACAGAAAGACAGGTACAGATTCAGAGCTCAAGGTACAGATGGTATACAAGCCTTGCCCCACTGAAACTTATGCTCTACTGAGAAAGAGAGAATGTAAACAAATAAATATGTACAAGTTTTGGAAACTGTGAAAAAGCTTTGAAGGAAATTATAAGGTGTTATGGAAAAGGACATAGCAGGGGTCTGAGTTAGCTCAGGGTTTCAAGAGAACCTGACTGAGTGACAACAGAAGGGGGAGAGAAGATCCAGGCCTGGTGCTACCAGACTACGCAATGACCTTGAGTCCATCAGTGGGACCCCAGAGTATTGATGAAACACACACCATGTGTCAGGAATCGTCCAGTGCTAGAGACAGCTGTGAACAAGTCAGGGAGAATTTCCACTCATGTACGTTGGACAAAGAGTGAGGGGGGGAAAAGTTAATTAATAATAAATAAATAAAATTTTAATGCTGCAAGGTGCCATGGAGACAATGGTGTGGTGCTACTGTGATGGGTGATGTTGGCTGAAACTCTTATGCCATTGATCAGATGAAGGTTTTGCCCAAGGGGAGCCATTTGATAGGACCTGAATGATGAGGAAGAGGAAGCCATGCCAAATTCCATTCTAGAAATGGAAAGTGTAACGGTCCTGAGACAGAAACAGAGTTGTGAATGAGCAGTGGACTGTGGAGGGAGAAAAAGTCCAGGAGATAGGCTGCTGTTCACTGAAGGTGGACCCAGCTTCTTTATCCACGGTATTGAAGGCCATCACAGTGTTTAAACAGGGTTGTCAGAGAATCCAGTTCACACTTAAACATCGCGATCACTGCCTCGTGGAGAACACACTGCTGGGGGCTTAGAGTTAGTCACGGCTTCCCTCCAGCTGGGGAGGCTTGTGCGGCCCCCATGGTGAAGGCAAGGCAGGGAGGCAGACACAAAAGCTGAATGAACTGCAGGAATTCTAAGGAATGAGGAATAAGTGAAGAATAGAACAATTAAAAAGTTCATAGAAAAACTTACCCCTTGAAGAAAGTTTATAATTTATGTAAGATGGATAAGTAGAGGACACTTCCTAACAAGGAAACTACGAAGTTTCTTTTGAAAGTACTCATCTCCAGACCCACTCTCACAGCCTCTCTCACTGTTCATCCTCCTTGCTCCTTGGCAGTCCTTAAACTTCCAGCAGATCCATCCTTGCCTTTGGACTATCGCTCAGTTTCCTCCATCGGCTGTACTTCCTCAGGGTGAACTTTCCCTTTCCACACTTAATTCTCTTATTTTTCTCTCTCCATGCCATCTTCTTCAATATACACACTCATTCTACTGATATCTGTGCCTCCAGGTCCCAGCTTTCTGCACAATTCCTGTCCAGCATTTTCTATTCTCTGCATAATACTTTCCACCTGGAAGATTTGTCTGTGTATCGCACTCAGCATCTAAAACTGATCCTGTCATTTCCCTGAATCAGTTCATTTTCCTGATACTTTCTGTCAGTGGCAAATCCATCTCCTGGACATGCAGACTCAGAACTGAAAATTCACTTTGTCTCTTCATTCTCCTTCACCCTCTTCCCTTAGAATTAGTCCATGATCCCATCGCTACCTAGTCTACTGCCACAATGCAGTTTCCAGAAACATCTTCAGAACTGATTATCTAATGGTGATACAACTGAGGGGTCTCCTGACTGCTTCTGGATTCCTTCTCTCTGAACTACACTAGCCTGTGCCAAACTAGACTCCCTCAGGTCCCTTTCCCTAGCCTCGCACATACCAGGTAGTACTTCAGGACAGCCCTGGGAATGAGAGACGGCACAGGCTCATACTTCCCAGGGCAGTCTTATACCAGATAGACTGTGCCCATCCCCTCTTCTCCTCTTGTCCCCTCTCTGCAGCCCTCTTCTGACTCTTACTCCTGGCTCAGCTTCCACCCCAACTTGGCTCCAGGTACTTTGCATTTGTACCCCCCACATTTCTTCCCTTCCAAAGGCCCTAAACCTTGACCTGAGTCAGACTGTCGACCTCCATTTCTCCAATGTCATCATCTCAAAGCTTGCCCAGGGTTTCTGCCTTCCTCCTTCCCCACCACACCTAGTGAAAAAAGAGGAACACCTGGCTTTGAGTCCTCCCCAAATTCGCAGCCATCTACTTTACAAATCTCGTATCTTATTTTGTCTTCATGTGAATCTGAAGTGCTCTTTCCCTAAACCACCTCTTGCTTTCCTGTTCCCTTTACCTCACTAAATATACACGAAATATATCTCCAGTAAGTCCTGGGTCAGCCCCCACCGCCTGCAGAGGCTCTCTTCTTTTTGGCCCTTCAAGCGTTTTGCACCTTGATAGGCATACTTAATACCTCCTGCCTATCATCTTATATTACTACAGGTGTGGGTCATATTTGCTCCATTAAACTTAAAGCCACTGGAGAACTGTATTAACATCCTTTATCTTTGTGTTTGGGAGACTTTCAAGATGAAAGTTCATGTTCCCACATTTGACCTTAGGCACTTGCTCTCCACACCCTGGTTTCTTCCTCTGTAAAATAAGGATAATAAAAGCAACACAGTGTTGTTGGACAGAATGAGTGCAGTAAATCACCCACAGGGTTTTTCCCACTATCCATCATATAGTAAGTGCTCAGTGTATATCAGCTTTTACTATGAATACACACTCCAAAAGCTCAATAAATGAAAGCTGGTATTATTATCTTCCTTCTGTTATCAAAGTATTTTACACCTGGAGAATACTACCAAATGATGAATGATCGCATTGGACAAACATGCAGCAGCAGTTTCAGGGGAGGACAGCAAAGGGAATAATCAGTGGCGGTGGCACTATTTTAGGTTGTAGCAGGAGTAAGTTTGCATTTTAAAAGGAGGCACATTGTTGGATGGTTTTGACAATCAGGTAAGTAACTTCAGATGGGATGGAAAAGGGACACACACACAATGCCTTCAGATGAGGTTCCCCAAAGGGCACCAAACATTAATGGATTTTTCTGTTTTTTTTTTTCTCCTAATTCTCCAAAGAAAAAGAGCCAAAAGTAAAACCAAGATGTAGAGAGGCTGTCCCCCTCACCCAGAGCCTTTGCTGCCTTCAGCCCATGATGAACAAATTGTCAGTTCACCTACCCAGTGGTTCTCAGACCTGTAGATCCTTTAGACTCACTGGAGAGGTTAAAGACTGACTGATACTGAAATCCCACTTAAGACCAATTAAATAAGAACCCCTTCTTCCTTGCTTATCTGTCCCTATATTTCATCTTGATTTGTAGAGGAGTAAAGAAACAGATGACAATGGTCTTTATTTTCCTTTCTTTCCTCAAAGAGCAAGTTCTAGTCTCAATTTGACAAGCCAAAATGTGTGTGTGTGTGTGTGAAAATCTGCAGGTTGTAAAAATTCTTTGACCTTTGGCAAAACATTCAAGTCATTTAGAATTACGACTGGAAATTCCATATTCCTTATTAACCTTTGGCTCTTTCACAACATCTGAAAACAGTATCTTACTCATAGTTACGTCTCTATAAATGTTTACTTAAATAATTTAAAAAGGAATGCTTTGCATTGTACACTATACAATGTTTGGGGATATCATCTCTTTATATTCCAAGTGAGACATTTATACGTATATCCTTGTAAAGCCTAAGTCCTCTGCATCATATCACATTTTATAAAGATACATATTATGGACAAAATTGTTTCCCACCCCAAATTTATATCTTGAAGCCCTAACCTCCAATGTAACTGCACTTGGAGACACGGTGATTAAAGAGGTAATTAAAGTGATTTTGCTGTATGTATGCAGTTCATAATAAACCCAAGATTCTATACACAAACTTTAAAATTTGTTTCTTCAACTACCTCTTCTCTAACACTCACCCCTTAGTCTCTGACTCTAATGACCTCCTTTATTTGACTTTGCCTAAAAACCTAAGGTTTTGGCACCGTGCACTTTAATGAATTTCTGAAACTAGGTGTACATGAGAGGAAATGGTAAGAGAAAAGGGCATGTAGAACCCCTCCTGCTGTAATTGCAATTGCTTCTGCTGCTATTGCAATTTCCTCACATGGGATGCCCAAAGTAGGACTTAGAGATGCAAGGGTTATCTTTTCTAATGGCTTCCTTCCCAGTGCTCTAGACCAGGATATAGGATTTTCCTTGCAGCTTTTTCTGTTAACATCTATTGCAGTTTCAAGATTCAAACTGCCCTAGACTCCAACCCAGGAAATATGGGAGGGAAGAAGAAGCAGGGACTCATCTCCATAAACATTACTGCTCTTTGAGTTTTTTATTCTCTTCCCCTTTTGGCTTGCTATTAACATGCTTTTTAGAGTCCACAGATAGTTGTTCCATGTAGTCTGTTTAGGACTTGTAGTTATTATAATTAGTAGAAAAGACAGGGTGTTAGTTATGTACGTACTCCATCTTAACTGGAAGTGAAATTTACCAACCTGATTGTTTTTAATGTTCTATTATGGTAAAAAAAAAATGCTAACACATCTTACTATGTGCTAAATACTGTGCTGAGCCTTTTATATGTGTTACTTACATATAGAAAAAAAACAAACAAACATTTGTGGTAAGCATCGATATCCTCATTTTAAAGATTAGGAAACAGTGACTTAAACTGGTTAAGTGATTCCTCAGTGTTTCACAGCTGGGAAACCAGGTATCACCAGAGGCTGGCCTGACTTCAGAGCCAAACTCCAAATCCCTCTGCAATATAGTCATGGCCAGCTCTGTCACGCAGCCTGGTGGGGCCAGAGCTGCACATGCTCGTATTACAGGT